GCCGGGAGCCGCGCCAGTCGGAGCCCCCGGCCGTGCGCGGCCCGCCTCCCTCTCAGCATCCGTCTGTCCGGAGCGCAGCCAGCGGGCATGACCGACCCACCAGGGGCGCCGCCGCCGGCGCTCGCAAGCCGAAGGTGAAGAAGAAAGTGCGGCCCCGCTCGACCCGGAGCGAAGAGGTGGCCTGGAGCGGGAAGGTGGCCCGGAGCGAGCAGGGGATCCGGAGCGAGGAGGTGGCCCGGAGCGAGCAGGGGATCCGGAGCGAAGAGGTGGCCCGGAGCGAGCAGGGGATCCGGAGCGAGGAGGTGACCCGGAACGCGGAGGGGAGCCTGAGCGAGGAGGAGACACGAAACGAGGAGACACGAAACGAGGAGGAGACTCGGAGCGAGGAGGGGACCCGGAGCGAGGAGGGGACCCGGAGCGAGGAGGAGACCCGGAGCGAGGAGGGGACCCGGAGCGAGGAGGGGACCTGGAGCGGGGAAATGGCGGCAGCCGGGCTCAGCGTGACCGTCACCCACAGTGAGAGCCGGGCGCCCGGGTGGGCTCCGTGCCGGGTTCCGAAAGTCCGGCGGCGTTTGTGGGTTTGTCCACGTGTCCTCCGGAAGCGTGTGTCTTTGTGTTTGTCTTCGCGTCCGAAAGTATGGGCTCTTGGGTGTGTCCGTGGTGCTGGCTTTTGTCCGGGGCGTGTCAGCACACCTTTCCATGTGGCCGGTGTATTTTGTCTGTGGCCATTTGTTTGATCCAGCGTGTCTGTGCTTCACGTCGTGGGCTGTTTGTGTGTGTTTGTGTGCCAGCGCAGTTACTGGGGGTGGGGGGGTGTCTTCGTGTCAAGCTTGTATTTGGCCATTTTGTATACGACTGCAGTGTATCTGGACACCTACGTGTGTGATGAGTCTGAACGTCGTGGTTGACGGGGTGTTCATAATTTTTTGATCCGCAGTTTGAGTGGGCCGTGGGTCCAGGCATTACACTCTGGGCACCCTTCGGGTTTGCCTGCTTTTGGAGTTGACACAGAACTAAACAAAGTACACGAGAGAGCGGAGTGCGTGAGGTTTCCTTGGGGAGACCGGAGGGCCTGCGAATCTGGAGACAGTGATTCTAGATCCTGCAGTTTTGAGCGACCTTGGGATGGATGTCGCCTTTCTAGGCATCTGGTTTCTTTGTGAAGCTGTGAAGTAGAATTGGTAACCCCTGCCTCTGCTGATCTCAAGGGGCTTTGACACAGGCTACCTCCACATACCTGGAAAAGAATTGGCACCTCTGCTTCAAAAAGACGTTCTCTGCTGTTTTACAGTATTCACTCATTTGTCTATTTACTGAGCACCACCTATAGGTGTACCCAGGTGTGCCCAGAGGGAGAAACTTGGAAAAAAACAGTCCCTTATCCATTACAGCAAGAGAGATAAGACTGGTACAATACAGGGTACAGGGCAGTCAGGCCACAGAAGGCAGATGCCTTGTGATGAAAAGCATGGACTTTCAAATCAGTTAGTTCTGAGGTCAAGTTCAGACTCTGACAGTTGGATCTTCATAGGCAGGTCTTTACTGGACTGAACTCATAGTTTGTTTATCTGTGAAATAGGAAATAATAGATAGTACCTATTTCATGAGATTGTGAGGATTAGATAAGATAATGTATGAATGAGTTTAGTACAGCCCCTTATGCATAAGTGCTTAAAATGTTAGCTGATATCATTAATATTGTTAGTTATTATAAAAGAGGAAACAAAAATCCTTCACCAGGTTGTCAGAGGAAAGCTGGGCAGATGGGGGCAGGCTTTTTGGAGTAGGTGGTATATGAGCTGGCCTTGAAGTCTGGGTAAATAATGTAATAAAATGTCAGACTATCTTGGTTTATGTGAAAGAGATATCTTCATCATACACTTTTCTTTCTCCCCAGGCAATGAGAAGCATGACCTTCATGTTACCCCGCAGCAGGGCAGCAGCGAACCAATTGTCCAAGACCTGGCCCAGGTTGTTGAAGAAGCCACAGGAGTTCCACTGCCTTTTCAGAAACTCATATTTAAGGGTAGGCATTTCTCTGCCATTTTTGAACCCTTAGAGCTAAAGGACAGATTGCTTAATTTTACCTAATGGTAACTCTTTCAGTTTTCAAACTGGGACTATTTTTATCATTTGTTTATTCATTCATTCCTTTAACAAATATTTATTGAGGACCTTCTGTATAATGGATACTTTCAAACATCTGGACAGGTATCAGATTTGAAGTCACATGATGAGGGCAGAAATTTCACCTTTTTTTTTTTTTTTTAAAAGACAACCGGGGCCGGCCCGTGGCTCACTCAGGAGAGTGCGGTGCTGATAACACCAAGGCCCCGGGTTCGGATCCCATATAAGGATGGCCGGTTCGCTCACTGGCTGAGCATGGTGCTGACAACACCAAGCCAAGGGTTAAGATCCCCTTACTGGTTGTCTTTTTTTTTTTTTTTAAAAGACAACCGGGGCCGGCCCGTGGCTCACTCAGGAGAGTGCGGTGCTGATAACACCAAGGCCCCGGGTTCGGATCCCATATAAGGATGGCCGGTTCGCTCACTGGCTGAGCATGGTGCTGACAACACCAAGCCAAGGGTTAAGATCCCCTTACCGGTCATATTTAAAGAAAAAAAAAAAAAAAAAAGACAACCAGTAAGGGGATCTTAACCCTTGGCCTTGGTGTTATCAGCACCACACTCTCCCAAGTGAGCCATGGGCTAGCCCAGAAATCTCACCATTTTTGATAAAGCCTATGGGCAGTCTTCTCTGGCTAGGTGAGATCTCTCCCCCAAATATGTTCACATGGCAGCCCCTATCACTTCTGTATAACTTGTATTGAAATTACTGTTAAATAATTGTTTTCTTAGCTGCTTAATATCTGATTTCTCTGTTAGGATAATAAACTCCATGAGGATAGAGATACTGCTATATTTCCAGTGCTTGGCATTGTGCCCACTGAGAAAAGGTTTTAAACAAACTTACCAGGGGCCTGGATGTGGCAGGCACATTGGATGATGCTGATGTCTGCCAGGATCCACCCCCTCCTCACCCCTGTGCTCAATCTTTCTAATGGGAACCCATTATTCTGATATCTTATGGGGGCACATTTATCCCTTTAGGTATCAGTCATTATAAAGAATTTAGTAATAGTAAGCATTTTTATTTATATTTCGTCGTGCAACCCTTGTCTTTTTTTAAAACATTTTATTTCTGAATTACAAAGACAATAGAAATTCATGTTTCATAGTAGAGGAAAGCACAAAGAAGAAAATGTTCCCCTAGATAAAATGCCTCATAACATTTTATGACATTTTTTCTTGTAACACTGGGTCATCAGCATTCATTATGGCATTGAAGTTTCCTGACAAAATGAGCTTTAATGTGTGCAAAATCTTTTTTTGTACAGACATGTAGTTAATCAGTCCCCTATTCCTGAATATTTGACTCTTTTCACTTTCTCACTATTATGAATAAGATTGCACTGAATATTATTATACAGTAGTTATTGTGCAAGCACATGTCCAGTTATTTGTTTAGGATAAATATCTAGAAGTGAAATTACTGGCTCAAGGCACCCAATAAAAAAGTTATACCAATTTATCCTCTTCTCATTAGTGAACACACTTGTGTATTTCTTGTTCCCTTGCTGAAATCTATTATCAGTGTTGTACAATTGTTACCACGTGGCATACCTTTCTCCTCTTTTCAGGAAAATCTCTGAAGGAAATGGAGACACCATTGTCAGCACTTGGAATACAAAATGGTTGCCGGGTCATGTTAATTGGGGAAAAGGTAAGTTGCTTTTTTTGTAACAGAATTCCTCAGAATCAAAGGACTAAAGTCTTTTACACATGCTTCTGTGTAGAAGACCAAATTGTGGAACTGGATTCTGCACTGGTGAAATGCCTCTCTAAACAAATGCAAACTCTATTTCTTTGATGAGATTACCAGTTTTGTTCTTATACCCTCCTGCTTCTGTTGGTTAGGGCTTTTGCTCTAGGAATTAGGAATGGTTGTGCCACCCCAGTAACATGGGTTTTGTCTTGGAGGTGGAATCTCAATCTGGATAAAATGGTGCCTGGGACAGACCTTACTCATTTGGAGTGGAATTTGCAAGAGAGCTTTTTGTTAAAATAAACCAGTAGATATTAAAATTAAGTACTCTGCTCTGTCAGTTTCAGAAACCTCTCTCCCTTTAACCACCTTTTTTTTTTTTTTTAAAGATGACCGGTAAGGGGATCTTAACCCTTGACTTGGTGTTATCAGCACCACTCTCTCCCAAGTGAGGCATGGGCTGGCCCCTTAACCACTTTTTTTACTGAAATTTCCCACAAGGGGACTTAACCCTTGACTTGGTGTTATCAGCACCACGCTCTCCCAAGTGAGGCATGGGCTGGCCCCTTAACCACTTTTTTTACTGAAATTTCCCACAAGGGGAAAAAAATCCTCTTTGACTGGAAAGAAAGGTTCAAACTAAAGAACTGGTGGGGGGAGGGCAGGAGGCAGTTGATAACATGGGAGAGCAGTAGCCCCTGAAGTGATAAGAGAGGGCTGTGGCCAGCCCTGCATTGTGACCGATGCAGAATCTTCTATTGTACAGACGTATAGTTAATCAGTCCCCTATTCCTGAATATTTGACTCTTTTCACTTTCTCCCTATTATGAATAAGGTTGCAGTGAATATTATTACACAATAGTTATTGTGCAAGCACCTGTCCAGTTATTTGTTTAGGATAAATATCTAGAAGTGAAATTACGATGAAAGTATTCATCCTTGTCATTATATTAAATGAGAGAGTTCAGTTGGAGGGCAACATTTAGGAATTCCATTTAAAGAAACAGTAGAATTCCGCCTGTCTTGCCATTCTGGACTCTTCACAGGATGTTCACTGAAGTTTGTTTACCCTCCAGGCATCAGTCTGGCTGTTGATCAGCCCAGGGCTGAGCCTGAATCTGGCACTTGGATTGGCTTCATTCTCTGAACCCAAGCTTTCAAGACCCTTACCAGAATATTTACCTAACACCTTTTGTCTAGTCTGGAGTCTTTGTATAGACCTTAATGGATAACCTTTGACTTGCTTTCCAACAAGCAGCAGAGTTAAGACCATTCTTTCTAGGTGAGTGGTTTAGCCCAATTGTAGTCACATTTTTTCCCTTACAGAGGCTACTGTTCTTGGTGATTACTGACTTCATTTCACTCTTAAATATTTTAGAACAGTCCAGAAGAAGAGGTTGAACTAAAGAAGTTGAAAGATTTAGAGAAGTCTGTGGAGAAGATAGCTGATCAAATGGAAGAATTGACTAAAGATCTTACTGGAATCCAGCAGGTAGCTTTCTTCACGGACTTTGACTTTTTACATTCTGTAAGAATTTTATGGACATAATGTGCAGTGATGAAGGCAAGCTCTGCAGTCAGACTCCTTATTTTCAGATCCTGGCTCTGCCCTTTCTTACTGTGGGCAAGTTTGTCTTTGTCTCAAGTTCTTCATCTGGTGGTATTTCTCTCTTAGGGTTGTTATGAGGATTAAATAATGTAGGTTGAGCCTGATACATACTAAATGCTTTATAAGTGTTATTGTCATTGCTATTGTCAACCCCAGCCAGCATCCATTTGTGCTTATAAGAGAGCACCAGCCATGCTAGTCATGTATTGTTTTAAATAGAATAGGTAGCTTCTTGAAGTTCAGGCTATTATAATGCATTTAGCAAGCCAAATGAGAATGATCTTAGTGGAGTTTGGGTGGGGGTGTCATCCTTTTCAATTCTTTATATTACAGGTGGGGTACTGAAAACCCAGTAAGGATTAGGAATAGCCCAAGACCATCTATTTCTCCCCACCTCCATTTTATAACATCAATGGGTGTGTGTTTATGTTTTAGTTATAGAAATAATGCATGCTGATTGTACAAAAGTTTTAAATGCATGTATATGCACTAATATGGAAAATAAAAATTACCTATAAGGCTCTGATTCAGAGATAAATATTACTAACACCTGAAATATATTTTTCATCTTAAAAATGTTTTTAATATAATGTTATGTACACTTTGTAAATTGTTCTTTTATTGGATTAAAAAAATGAACATTTTTCTATGTCACTAAAAATAATCATATTTTTCAAAGCTTGCATATTTCATCATACATGAATATATCATGGTTTACCTAACCAATTCTCTATTATTTATCACCTAACGTTATTTTCACCACTGTGTGTAATGCTTCTTTGACCGTCCTTGGACATAAATCTTTTTTGACCATTTCTGATTTTCCTGGTAGAATAAATTTTTTGAGTTGGAACTGTTGGGTAATATTTGAAGCTCTTGCTACATGTTGTCAAATCTGCATCTATAGCTTTTGTCTCTGATAAACATCCTCACATATCCCTGCTGTCTTAACTCATAAGTGCTGCTGCCATTAGTTTGCATGAGTTATGTTAAACATCTATATATATTCCCCTTTATCCTTGCAGCAACCCTCTGGGGTGTGGGTATCATAATCTCCATTTTATAAATGAGGACACTGAGGCATGCGTAGGTTAAGTAACTTGCTTCAGATCACAAGCAAGTAAATGGCAGTCAGGATTTAAGTCCAGGCCTGTCAGACTCTAAAACCTGTGCTCTTTAATGTCTGCCTCTTGTGTGCAGGTACACACTTGTGACTGGGGACTTCACCAGAGCCAGGCCTTGGGAAGCATTTGCAGCCCCAGTGGGCCATGTAAGACAGAACAGCCTGCAGCCTGGTGGAATTCTTGGATTGGCCCGGGGACAGCCTTTCTATTTTTTCCAAGAGAGGAAGTTGTGGGTCTGAGATCTGGCCTGCCCAGTCAAGGCAGTGGTGGACTCAGGATGTATTTGCTTCATCATGGGGTTTTCCGTCAGCCTCTAGGAACCCTTGCAATAATGTGTCATTCCTCTACAGGGTTTTCTGGCCAAGGATTTGCAAGCTGAAGCTCTCTGCAAACTCGATAGGAGAGTAAAAGCCACAATTGAGCAGTTTATGAAGATCTTGGAGGAGATTGACACACTGGTAAGTAAATATTCAGCTGAAAAGAACTGGTCTTTGTTGACTGTATTCATATTTCAGTCAATTTCACTCTCTCAGTAATGCATTCCTACTGCCTGATCTACATCACCTGAGGATATTGAGCATCTGCTCCTGTGTGCCAGACACCATGCTAGGTGAATACACAGAACAATAAAACAGTTTCTGATTTCTAGGCACTCACTCTCTACTAGCTTACCAGTAGAGAGCTTTTGCCATATATATTTATGTATGCTAATAGTAGGGCCGGCCTGTGGCTCACTCGGGAGAGTGCGGCGCTGATAACACCAAGGCCCCGGGTTCGGATCCCATATAGGGATGGCCGGTTCGCTCACTTGGGAGAGCGTGGTGCTGACAACACCAAGTCAAGGGTTAAGATCCCCTTACCGGTCATCTTTAAAAAAAAAAAAATAGTATCTGTAATCATGAAGCTGGGACCCAAATGGCCCATGATCTCCTGGTCAGAGAAACAAAGGGCTTCACTTTCCCTGATACTCATGTGACTGATAATCCTACTGAGCTCACTACCTATACAGAATTCAACCAGACCCAGATCTCGTGTGGCTGTTGAGAATCGTTGACCCCATGTTCTCTTTTACAGATGACAATAATGATATCTCTAGCCTGATGCTTTATTCTTGAGGATGAACTGATCTGTGCTTGGAATTCTATGAAGTGGGGGCAGGGGGCTGTAAAAAAGGCAGAAGGTATTTCCTGGCACAGTGAGCTCATGGTCTGGCCAGAGCATAGTATCCATACATAACAAACAACGGAAGAACAAAGTCTGTGCTACAGATCAGTTGCTATGGCCCAGACATTGAGAACAAAGGGAGCATTCATAGGGACAAGGGTCATGTAGGATCCAGACCCAGGGAAATGATTCCTGAAAGTGCACATCTCATTCACATCTGTGACCTGTGACATGTTTGGTGTGCTGCGGGTGTGTCTGACATGTTCTCATTTTCACTGAGGATTGTTTATGTGTCAACTTATTCTTCCATAGGTCCTACCAGAAAATTTCAAAGACAGTAGACTGAAAAGAAAAGGTTTGGTGAAAAAGGTTCAGGTGAGTTGTGTGGTAGAGTGTGACAAAGTGTAATATGTTAATGTGTTGGTGTGTGTGTTTGTATATTCAAAGTGGGTCATATAGAAGTGTGGTGTGTGGCATGGGCTTTTTTTGGTTATTGTTTATTTATCAGTATGAACCCAGAACATCAGAGAAGAGCCGCCTTCATGTCCCTGTAGTTATATTTGTTTTTTTTTTTTTTTTTTTTGTCTTTTTCCGTGTCCGGCAACGGATCGCAACCCTCAGTCTCGCCCCCGCACCGGACCGGGACCGGCAACGGGATCACAGCCCTCGGTGTTGCTCCCGCGCCTCGCTCAGCCAGTTTGAGTGGGAACCGGTCCGTATGTGGGATCCGAACCCTCGGCGGGAGCGCTGCCGCACTTCCCAAGCGGTGCACTGTAGCAGTGCGCCACTGGGCCGGCCCCCCTGTAGTTATATTTGAATTTAAACTATTTAAACTACTAGAAGGGAGGAAGCTTACTGGAGACACATAGGGCTGACACATTACACAGTTCCAGGAGGTACCATTCCTGTGTTCAGTGACCCATGTAGTTGTGCAGTTGCAGTGCAGTGGCTCTGAGGCAAGGCTTCCTGTCTTCACTACCTTTTGGGGGTTGTTGGCCTAGAGCGTGGTCAGAAACCCTGGTCCTTTGTTTCCCTCTCCTTCCCTCCCCTTACCTCGGAGTCCAGGCCAGGTGCCCATCTCCATCCATGCACAATCAGTTTTGAGTCTTACCCAGGGGTTCCTCAGAATGGCTGAGCAGGGCCGGCCCAGTGGCTCACTCGGGAGAGTGCGGTGCTGATAACACCAAGGCCCCGGGTTCGGATCCCATGTAGGGATGGCCGGTTCGCTCGCTGGCTGAGCGTGGTGCTGACAACACCAAATCAAGGGTTAAGATCCCCTTACCGGTCATCTTTTAAAAAAAAAAAAAAAAAGAATGGCTGAGCAAAGAACCTTGGGAGGGCATTGGTTGGCTAGACCTGATGGGCCCTCCTGCCCCATATTTATCTTTCAGGCATTCCTTGCTGAGTGTGATACAGTGGAGCAGAACATCTGCCAGGAGACCGAGCGGCTGCAGTCTACAAACTTGGCACTGGCCGAGTGAGGTGCAGTAGAGAGAGGCTGTGCTGCCTGGAAGAACAGCACCACCAGCTCTGCCCTCTCTGGAACAGAAGTTACCTGATTTCTCCAGAATTGCCAGGGGCAACTGGCTGATTGCCAATTTTCCTACTCCTATGCTGGTTCTCAATGAAAAAGTATTGTCTTTGCAATCTTAAGTAGAGCTCCTGTCTGTTTTCTCATTCTGTCTCTGTGTGACTGTGCTATCCAACAGCCCACCTTTTCTAGAGAGGGCCTCCCCTGCCCAAGGTTTCTCAGCTGTTTTGACCTTTGGGTGCTTTCTTTGGACTGGTGTGAGCTCTTATTTGTCCTAGGCTAGTTCTGGGTATTTACAGGCCACCTGGTTTTCAAATACATCAGAGCTTTTTTGCCCTTGTGATCTCATAGTTCCATAGATGTAAAATCAGAATCACCAGGAGGCTACATCTACTCATGAATCTTGGGAACGACTGGCATACAGGCAGTCCAAGTATCCCTCATTTTGACCTAATTCCAGAACATCTGGCTGGTTGTTGGTTTATAGACCCTTTCCTCACCTCCCTGTGCAGTCACAGGCCATGAGATATAAGGGGGCCTTTCCTGGTGTGGGGTCTATGGTTGATGAATGGACTTCCTTGTCCCCAATCAGATCTTCAGAAGGTTAGAACCTAGTGTTGACACTTTCTCTGCCTAAAGCCAGGCCAGAACCATGGTTTAGCTTAGGAAGGGCAAAAAGGGGTAACCAGAATGACTAAAGCAGGCAGGTGGTAAAGTCAGCCAGAAACTTCTCAGAAGTGACATGTGCTTCCTTTAAAGGCATTTCTGTTTACTATACCCTTACGAGATCTATGTTTTCTTCAAGACTGTTCCTGTTGGTTTTGTGGACGGCCCCCCATTGTTACTAAAAAACAGTTTGTATGCCCATCATCAAGCAGAGGAGTGTTTTGTTTTCGTATTATTGATTGTTAAGTTATGAAAAGGAAAGACTTCTGTGGCCCTATTCATAATTTATGTTTAATAAAGTTTGTAATGGTCTTGTGTGCCAGAACTCTTTTTAAACTGGTCAGCTACTGCCACCTCATTCTTCAGCAACGTGCCCAGGAGACAGGCTGCCAACAGTCTACTCAGAGGCCCACCTCATTTGGCAGAGAGGGATACACTGAAGTCCCAGGAATTAAGGACTGGGTTGATAAGGCCTCAAAATGGTGGTAGAGGTGGATGAGCAGACAGTGCTCAGGGCCCAGCCTAGCCCACCTCACCCCCAACTTTAATCAGCGTAGTTTGCTATTTATCTGTTTTTATATCATAGTTGTGTGGTCTTGGGCCACAACCTTTCATGAGAAGTTACTGTGTGCCAGACACTAAGTTTTTCATTTATATTAGTCATTTAATCTTCACATAATCTAAGAGGTAGGCAGGTATTATCCCCATTTTAGAGATGAAGACACTGAGAGAACTTAGGTGATTTGCTCAAGGTCGTAAAGTAAATGGCAGAGCCAGTACACAAAGCTGGGCATTTTGATCTCAGAGCCTGTGCTTTTAGTCTCTGCTGTACCGCCTCCAAACTGAACAGGGTTGCACATGCTCGTTCTCTTATTCTCTCTCTCTCTCCTCTCTCCAAGCTCTTTCCTCTCTTGATCTCCCATGTTGGTCTTTCCACTTCCTCTCTGGCTCTCTCCAGTTCATTCTTCACAGAGCAGCCTGAGTGATCATAAAGTGCAAATCTCATGTCAGTCCCCTGCTTAGAAACCTCCAGCGGCTCTCCATGTCTCTTAGGATAAAGGCCAAAATTACCCTACACTTTCTCCCATCTCGTCTTGAGCCCCTCACCTGTTTGCTCTCTGTGGGCAGCCTCTCTAGTCTTCTTTCAGGTCCTCAGATGTTTAGATCACAGTGTGAGCTGACCCTAGACTTGCTCCTTGGGCTCTGCAGTGGATTGAATTATGTCCCCCCAGAACTCACCGAAACTTGAATTGTGTCCCCCAAGTTTTATGTATTAGAAACTTAGCCCCCACTGTGACTGTTATGAGGGTGGGAGATCCTATTACGATAATTGAAAGGTGGAGCTTTGAAGAAGTGATTGGATTGTAAGATTGTGCAGTAGTGAATGGATTAAAATTGGTGGGGGAGGGGGTTCTGAGGGCTTTAAAAGAAGAGGGGAGTCTGTCTGCTCTCTCTTGCTCTCTCTGCTTCTACCATCTTGCAGTGTGAGACCCCGGGTCACTGTTGCCACCATCAGATAGACCTTGGACTTCCCAGCCTCAGAAACTGTAAGCAATAAATTTCGTTTTTCTTTATACATCACCCAGTCTCAGGTATTCTGTTATAGCAACACAAGACGGATTAAAACAGGCTCACTGCTTAGTAGACCTCTTGATGTCCCTAAGCCTCAGCTATTCCTTTCTGCTCACTGTTGCTGGAACAGGCTCTGCTTTAGCTCATGCGGTTCCCCCTGGCTGAAATGTCCTTATCATATTCTCCTATTGAATCCTACCCTCCTTCCAAGGCTCAGATGCTACCTCCCAGTGAAGACTTCCTTGATGTCCCCCACGGGATGTTTCCTGAGCAGATTTGGAATTAGGCTTTCTTCATGCCACTGTATGCTGTCCTACTCATAGGTCACCCCTGCCTCACTGTGGACCTGAGTTCCTCGGGATTACTTTATCTCTGCCCCCATGCAGCACCCCTCTCAGTGCTCCACACAGTGAATGTTCAGGAATTGACCCTAAAGTGCATTGGGAGGAAAGGGAGTTCAAAACCCTGTGATATCAGAGTTTCTTCCAGGGGCATATGGGAAGAAGTTGCATTCACCCCCAGGCTGCCCTTGACCTTGGACCTTGACCCATAGTGCCCCCTCTTCATTCAGCCCAGGTGGGAATCTGAAATGTATACAAGGACCCTCTTTGGGGCAGGCTCCTTAGTGTTCCTAACTGAAGAACTGCTCAGAATGAGTGCCAGGCTGGGAGTAAGCAGGCTGTGCCTTACCAGAGCCCCCAGACCCATTCCCATTGCCTCAGCGTCCAGGTCTATGTCCCCACCTGGGAAAATGGATGTGAGACTGGCCATGAGGTCCTGCCGGGCCTTGCCTTAGAAGATTATGGTTTTTGTCCCGATGGGTCCTAACTGGTCTTCCTGCTTCCCCGTTCACTTTATTCCCAGCATACCAACCAAGGCAATCCTTTAAAAACAACTCTGCTCCAAACACTTCAGTTCCTCCCATTTCACTCAGGAAGAGCCAAGTGCTCACATTGGCCAACAAGACCTTACTCAGTAGTCTCCAGTTGCCTCTCTCATCTCTTCTCCTATCACTCTGCACCATGCCCCTTCTCCCCTCCAGCCACACTGGCCTCCTTGCAGTACCTCACTCAGGCATGCTCCTTCTTCAGGGCCTTTGCACTGGCCATTCCCTCTGCCTGCAACCCTTTTCTGCTATATATCCACATGGCTCCCTCATCCCATTCAAGCTTTGCTCACAAATCAGCCTCTCAGATTCCCCTGCAATTTAAAATTGCAGTGCCCTCCCAATGCCCATCACCCTGCTCAATCTTTTTTCCTTAGCCTTTATCACTTTCTAACTTACCATTTAAGATATATACACTGTACCTATCTTGCTTATTGTCTATTTCCCTCCTTCCCTACCCTATTGGATTTAAACTCCCATCAGGATGGTGCTCTTTCTATTTTGGTCACTGATGTGTCTAAAGGGCTCAGAACAGTGCCTGACACAGTAGCTGTGAGAGTGCAGAGGTGTCCCAGTTCTTGCGGAGGCCCCGCCCTAGGTGTTTGTGTCCAGCCCTGGGCAAGGACTCCCAGGGGTAGGGCTCTCATGCTCACATTGCTGCCTTCGGTCTCAAACCACAGCCTGTCAGAGCAGAATGGGAGCTCAGAGGACCAGGCCTGGTATTTCTTAGCATCCACCACCCTGCAGCCAGCATACTAAACTGTCTCCCCTGAGACCTTGGACCCACCTGCTCCCTTCTGCCTCCGCAACCTCCGCCCAGTAGTTGCTCAGTACAGCTTTGAACAGTCCTACTTTATACCTGAAGAAACTGAGGCCCCACAAGAGCAGGGGACTTTGGCAATTCTGGACCAGAATCAGGATTTGAACCCAACTTTCTTTTCTCCAAGCTCAGGGCTTTCCCTGCCACAATGGAGGGTGTGCATGCAGAATAAAGGCTTATGCAGAAAGCCAAGGCCTCACAGCGTGCTCCAGACTCTGCCTCTGCGCCCACCCCCAACTCACTCACCAATACCAAGCCACAGAGAACCCAGGTTCTGCCCACTCACCCCTGTACTCAATGAGGAGGGCAGCCAAGGCCAAGGCGACCACCCACAGGTGGACCATGCTGATCCTGGGCTGCTGTGGCCAGAACTAGCTGGGGCTTGGGCTGGGGAAGGATGGGAGTCTGTCGATAGTGCAGAACCCCACTCTTACCTTATCTGGAACAGATGGAGGAGCCAGAGTTAATCTTGCACCCTGGCATCTGGAAAGGGCTTGCTCTAGGCAAGATGCTGAGCTTGTGGTGACATGGGGTTATGGCTGTGGGGTTGGCAGATTTCTGGAGTGAGGAGAAGTTGGACAACTTGCAAAGCTGGTTCCAGTCTGAGGGTTGGAGCAGGAAGGAGAGAGAAGTTGAAGTAGAAAGAGAAAACCTGAGAGAGACCAAGGCAAAGAGAGAAGGAAAGGAAAGAGAGAGAAAGAGGCAGAACAGAAAAAAAAGTAGCAACTGAAAAGTGGCAGGAGACAGAAAGAGAGCTGGAGTCATGGCTTTCTTTACCAGTGCCTCCACCAACGAACTTGTGACCTTTATGAAAAGCCACTTAAAAAAAACTGGGTGCCAGTTTCCCATGCACAAAATAGAGATGATAATTCTGGCTCTGCCTCGCTCTCAGGGCTGCTGTGAGAATGGGGGTGGTAGCACCAGATGGGAAAACATTTTGCAGAGCGTAAAGTGAGGTGTAAATGTGAATAGAAATTATTGTTTTTACTTTTAAAAATTTTATTAATTTTTTGTACCATGAAATGGGCACAACTAACAGACAAAACAAAGGCAAAATAAAACACATTAAAAGGAAGATTCCGGGGCCGGCCCGGTGGCGCACTCGGTAGAGTGCGGTGCTTGGGAGTGCGGCGGTGCTCCCGCTGAGGGTTCGGATCCCATATAGAGACCAGTCCGCTCTTTGGTTGAGCGTGGTACGGCGTGACACCGAGGGTTGCGATCCCGTTACCGGTCACGAAAAAAGACAAAAAGGAAAAAAAAAAAGGAAGATTCCGGGCCAGCCGGTGGCTCACTTGGGAGAGTGTGGTGCGGATAACACCAAGGCCACGGGTTCAGATCCCTATATAGGGATGGCTGGTTAGCTCACCTGGGAGAGCATGGTGCTGACAACACCAAGTCAAGGGTTAAGATCCCCTTACCAGTCATCTTTTTAGAAAAAAAAAAAAAATGAAGATGCCCTCCTGCTTTGTAGGTATTATATGTTCATTTGCATTTTAATAGGTTAAAAATAGACAAGATTCTTTTCAAGAAAAATCAATATCTAAAACTCCCCCATACTTATACAATATATATGAATGAGTAATTTGCTTTCCTCCCTGCTGACTAAGCTGTAAGCTCTCTGGGAATGAAGACAACATTTCATTTATCTCTGTCTCCCTGGTGCCCAGTCCTGAGCCTGGCACACAATAGGTCCTCCACTGTGGAGGATATTGACATTTAGGAATAGAAATAAAACACATGTATTTCACAGGGCCATAGCCTATAGCATAGTAGGACCAAAGTCCTTAGTTTAGTAGGACCAAAGTCCTGTAGTTTAAGTCATTGCCCAACTCTTTAGGAAAACACATAAAAATGCTAAGATTGGGGGGCTGGCCCGGTGGCGCACTGGATAGTGCACTGCTTGGGAAGCGCAGCGGCGCTCCCGCCGAGGGTTCGGATCCCACATACAGACCAGCCGCCGAGGGTTGCAATCCCGTTGCCGGTCCTCGGTCCGGTACGGGGGCAACACTGAGGGTTGCGATCCGTTGCCGGACATGGAA